GTTATCTTTGTGTAATATTAAAATTTGTTTGACGATCTGAATCTTTTAAGTGTGACAAATATGCAAACAATTAAAAAAACAGGAAGGGGGCAAAAACTTTTTCACACCACTGTATATGTTTTTTCTTTATATATGTATTATAAAGATAAAATGCCTAACTAGACATTGTCTTCACCTTTACGTTGGAAATGCACAGTTTTTTTATAGTGCTTGGGTTGTTTTGAGGGCCTCTGATCAGCACAAGAGTTACTGTATGCTGCCATCCACTGGAATCGGCAGGAAGTAGATTGCATTTTGGCCCTTGTGTGTTTTGGAGCCGTTTTTCATGCGTCCGTTCTTTTTGATCCCCACGTACCAGTCTCCATTCTCCTGATACTTCTGTGAGCGGTATGTGTTGTAGTGGTTCTCCTCTATCTTCTCAATGAAGCAACACTCATCGTTCAACATGACCTGACACACAGAACAGAGATCAGAGGTGGGTTGTGCTGGTTTATTTTTTACATTTTACTGAATTAGAGTTCAGGAATTCAACGTTTAAACATCATGCTCTACTTTCAAACAATAGAGTGTTAATATGTATATAAGAATATGAAATATTCAATACATTAAATGTACATCTAGGTTAATGCATTTTGTGATCAAAATTAAGTTTAATAGAAAACTACAACTAAAATTAATATATAAATAAGTAATAGTTAGATGAACTTACAGTGCTGTAAAGTTTTCCATATTTGTCCATTGCCAGGTATAGTCCAGTCTTATGACCCCTAATAGCCACTATTCCTGCCTTCACTGCTTTTACCTTTAAAAGAACTGTCATACAATACAACGTTCATGGTAAGGTAACAGGTTCTTTTTACTTGACACATTAATTAAATTTTTACAGTGTAGCCTATGCTAGTAGTAGTAGTAGTAGTAGGCCCTGTAATACCAAACGATTTCATCATTATTTCATATCTATTTTAGTTAACATTTTTAAATTTTGCTCTATGTTAGAACATACTTTCCGTCACATGTATATCAAGTATGCTTGGGGGGGGATCTGTATACTGCATACTTACTGTAAACGTCGTTCTGTCAGGACCACTATCGTCAGAATGATAGATACTTAGCATAAAGTTTGGTTTGGCGGTATGGTTTTGTTCTAGGCAAAAATGAGCAGGGAGAGCAGCTATAATAACCCCCTAGGGTTAACAGAACAGAACAAGGCAGATATCATTAATGTACTTAATGATACTTAAGTGTAACACTTTATTCAAGATAAAGGAGTCTGATTAGCAAGGAATATCAGAAAGCCAAGTCCTGACTGTGGCGAAAGGAGGAGCTGGGGATGGAGGAGGGTAATTTGCTCCTGAGCAAGTGAAAAAGCTGCAGAATAATACTGAATATACCTTATATAGGAATGCCGTGATAGGTGTCGTATTCCTATAGGTAGATGTGATCAGCTGAGAATCAGCTGATGCAAGCTTGACTCACGTGACCTGCCAGAACTAACGCTAACGCACAAACTGGTAAACACTTATTTGGACAGAAAATCACTGTTATTGATGGTTACTCCATTTAGATATAACTTTTACCCTGACAAGTTAGACTAACATTACTCTTACAATTTTCTCTATTAAATACCCCCAAAGTATCCAAGTACACAAAGAAATGGGAGTTAAAGCAATTATATGTATTTTAGTGGAGATTAAAGGATTATGAAATCACAAAACAAAATGAAGCCAGTTAAGCCAGGTATAGTACACAGGGAAACAATCTGAATAGGAACCCAAAATTCCCCTGAATTTAGAAATCAGTAGACATTTTATTGGCTAATCAAGTGGGCCCACGCATTCACACACTGTCTTACATACAGTCACAGTGTTAAAAATAACAAAACCAATCGTTGCAGGCCTGTGACGTGGCTTGAGAGCGTGGAGACCAAGAAAATGAAAACTGGCTTTAAAAGCTTTAAAAGCAAACAAAAGAAAAGATTTGACTGGAACGTTCTTAGAAGTAGGCTACCCACGACCTGACGGGAGGTAGGACATCCAATCACAATGAAAGTCAGGCACGAAGGGTAGCAAGTACAGGCAGTTTGCAGTTCAGCAGAGGGGAAATCAAGCGAAGAATGGTCCTGAAGTATCCGAGAGACTGTCCTTTCCCACAGACGAGGAGGTTATCCTGGTCAATAAACATATGATCATCAAAAACAAATGACCGTTTCCTGTGCAAACATTAATTTATCAGTCCATTTAATTTACATAATGAATTACAAACATTACTGGAGAAAATAATGGTGAGCAATGCCAGTTTTATGGTCACTATTACCAGATTGCATGCTAACATGCTAACAGCGATTAGCATTTGCTTCAGCAGTAGGGGAGAGTGGGGTAAGATGGTAAGTTGACCCACCCCCTGTATCTTGCCAACTGTACACTTTTACTTTCATGTGACCATATATTTTGAAACCACCCATAATTTCTGCCAGACTGTGAAAAGAAGAAACAGTGGAAGGCACCCAATTACTTTAAAAACTGTTTTTGGCTTGTCAAAGTAAAATTTTAGCATAACATATGTAATGGCTGTTACATCAAAGCAAATTTATCCAGGTCTAAAAATATTTATGATGCATTTTAGCAATTTAGCAATGTGTAAAACCATGTAAATCATTTAGCTAAATATTAGCCTGAATTAGTAAGCAAGCTAGTTTTATGGCAGCTAGGCAGCTATGGGGCAAAGTGAGCCAAATGCTGTGGGGTAAATTGAGCCAGCATTTTATCTTACCCTACCATAAGGCACTGAAGTTAAGTTAAATCTCTGAAGTATAAACTGGTAGTTTAATGTCATAGTACACAACTGATTTAGTTTATCATATACAGTATACATATTATTATTTGTAGTTTCTTTGATAGGGACAGTGTACAAGTGCACCAAATCCATATCTGATAAGAACCAGATGATACTTTTCATCACATTATAATCAGATATATCTTTCCACCTGTAGTCCCTAATGGCCTGTTCGACATTGCAGAAAAGCTACCATGCCAAGAATCTTTTGACTACTAGATTGTTCATTAGTTTCAGTGACATTTATTCCTTCATTCTAATTCAGTTTTTTATTTTTATTTTACTCAACAAACTCTCTGTTTAGTCTGTTTTTGGGAAGATTACAACTTTGGTGTTAAAAATGTTTCAGAAATGCAAACAATTAAAGATTGAAATTTTCATTTGATTGGGTTTATGTTGTTTACATTAGCTTTAAGAAAAGAAATAAGACTGTTTGAAAAAGGAAATTTGATTATTAAATTAGTTTTTAAAAGCGGTAAATTATCTTTCAAATTTAGCATGGGTTTGAACCAGATTCAGTCAGATGGTCAGTTTACAACCAGATGGTTCATCTTACCCACTGACTCGGGGCAAACTGAGCCACAGGAACACTTTTTTTATAAGAAGCCATTTTTTTAGAACCCTTTGTCATAGATACATTCTGATAATTTAAAATGATAGGAAACATCCTGAAGTTACTTTAGATACTTTGATTGTACTTCTGCGTCATTTTCCTTTATCTTGAAGACCACATAAGTAAACAGTGGCTCATCTTACCCCACTCTCCCCTATACACCATATGGATTACACCAGTATTAACCACAAGAAACGTCTCAGTTACGTATGTAACCCTCGTTCCCTGAAGGAGGGAACAGAAATTTCACGTCGGTAATGACCGACGAATTGGGATCTCGCTTATGCCGAGTTCACACTGCATGATTTTCAAAGTCATCGGATCAGCGTTGTTTTCACACTGCACGACTATCTGGGGTAGCATTCAGTTGCTGCTGCGCTCACATTGCACGATGGATCGGCGACAGGAGGTTACACACTGTATGACTTTACAGTAGGAAGAATCGCCGACAACTCTGTCTGGTCCGCAAACTACGTTTCACAACCAAACGCATGCGAGAGGTGATAAGGAAATAATGCAAGATCACGCTGATATGTGGTCCATAAAGTCCCCCCCGAACACACAATAACAAAGATGACTTTCTTGTTAACAACATACTTCTTCTGGGAAAATTTTATATACACAAATCTAAGTACTTGAAAGTGAAACCAACATTTTGTGCATTTTATAGAGTTTATTTCTTATACAAAAGCCCTCAAAGTGATGAAAAAAAATACAATAGGCTAAATCTTTTGTCATTTATAGAAGAATGTGATTTACAAGAAAAACCTTAGCCCTCTTTTATGTTTAGTTGTATTAAAAAAAAAAAAAAAGTTATATCTTCATGCACCTGTTCTGTATATTCTAATGCAAAAAATGTGCTGATATTACAAACGTTGTTTGCAGATTGCATTGCTTAATAAAAAATAAATAAAAACAAAACTCAAAAAACGTTCTCCCCAAACTTCCCTCTGCCCTTTATCTTGCTCTCTCATTGGCTGTAGGTCATCGCCGATTTATTTTTCAGTAAGAACTCATTTCACACAGCATGATTTTGAATTGCCGACAAGTCCAGATATTTAGCATGCCAAATATTTCACAGGCGTCGGCGATGCATTGGCAATTCTCTCAGATCACGTCTTTGATAATTCACACTGCGTGACTGTCACTCGCGTGAACGAGCACCGATTTGCTTCCGATTTCGGGCATTTGTCAGCGATTTCGCAAAACCTGTTGGCGAGTGAAAATCAGAGCTAAAATCGTGCAGTGTGCACTCGGCAATAGAGAGACAAATCCACTTCGAGTATAAACTAAACGAGCCAATGCACATTGACATGAGATGATTGCATCCAGCTACCACTGATCGCAGCGCGAGTATACTGTAACTAGGCAGCAGGTGCAACGCATACTCAGGTTTTCACTGAGGAGCCGAGCCGGTTACCCAGCCGCTCAGCGGTGGTACAGCAGCTATGACAACGGGACGTGACGTCTCAGTTCTCTCCTTCAGGGAACGAGGGATACATATGTAACCGAGACGTTCCCTTTCAGTCGGTCACTCTTGACATTACGTCAGTAATGACCGACGAATTGGGATCCCTACCAAAACGTCATGGATGCTGCCCCTTCCAGTGTTCTGTGCGAGCCTCCTGCACTCCCTTTTCGGCGTAGGACGGGGCTCGCAACAAGAAGGTCAGTCACTGTTGTCGTAGCACCACCCACTCAGTGAGATTGGATAACACTGGGAAAACGTACCTGTTCCACTTGTTTTTCTTGTAAATCACATTCTTCTATAAATGACAAAAGACATCACAGCCGACCATTGATACATTCCAGCGACAAACATCGCAAGTTCCAGTGTACAGTGCTTCTTCATTGAGGCAACTTGCCATCAATCAAGCCATCATCCATGACCTCATCATTGGCTGCTGCCTGACCCTATCAATAGTAGAGAATCAACATTTCCGACATTTTCTACACACCATTGATGAGAGGTACACCCCAATCGCCAGATCAACCATAGCCTTCAAACAGATACCTCAACTACTGACCAGAGTCAAAGAGTGTATCAAATACAGTCTGGCAGATCAGAAATTTGTCTCTGTTACGGCTGACATATGGTCAGATCGCACCTTGAGGTCTTACCTAGGAGTAACAGCTCATGTTTGTAACTCCACAGCTAATGAATACACTGTCACAAGTCCTTCCTCCTTGACTGCAGAAGATTTAAAGGGCGTCACAGTGCTGACAACATTGTAGCTGCATTCGATGAAATATTGGAAGAATACAATATAAATGATAAGGTAGAATTTATTATCACAGATAATGCATCTAACATGAAAAAAGCTTTTAAATTTGTGATGGCAGAAGACCACTCCGATGATAGTGAGGATGAGGAGGACATGGTTGGTGAACCGTTGGATAGGAACTTTACCCTAGGTTCCCGGCAACGGTTGTCCTGTTTTGCTCACAGTCTTCAGCTAGTAGTGGGCGATGGATTAAAGGAGGTGAAGTGCCTTTCTCAAGCAATGTCCAAAGTGTCCAAAGTTTGCAACTCTACTGCATAGCAGCACAATTTTCAAAGACAAGTTTGAGGCAGTCTTTGGCAATGGCAAAAGCATTCCAGTGGCCACTGTAACACGATGGAATTCCACCTTCAAGCAAATAAAGGCCATTACGGAGCTGGATCACACCAACTTGACAGAAATGTGCTCTCCTGACTTTAAAAATGTTGTCATCACAACAAGAGGGTGGGCCCAGTTGAGAGAATTTTGTTTTATTCTTGGACATTTTGCTGAAGCAACTGAATTAACAGAGGGAGAAAAGATCATCACAATCAGCATGGTTGTTCCAACAGTGCTTGACCTGAACACTCATCTAATTCAGATGGATTCGCCAAAGAGCCTCTGCAGGCCATTGATCAGAGCGCTCCGGGAGTCACTCCAGCAAAGGTTCTCGGGCATCTTCATTGCACTTCATATGGCAGAGCCTGAGGACCATAGCTTTGATGCACCATTTAGTCATGAGATCTATGCACAAGCTGCAATGTTGGACCCTCAGTTTGGAATGAGCTGGGTCGACATGGATGTGAGGACCAGTGGCAGCACTGTTGCTATAAAGAGACTAAGGGAGGAGGTGCGGAAGTCGCTGACAGGTTTGTGTGTCCTCCTGTAAGGACTTGTATTTACTACTACTACGACTACTACTATGAATAACTGCTATAATAATATAATACATTTTATTTACATAGCACTTTTCAAAAAGAAGTGCTTCACAGACATAATAACTTAAATGCAATGTAAGAAAAATGAATAAAAAAAGATAAGACAATGAATACAAAAATGCCAACTTATGAAAATGTGTTTTTAAGTGTTTTATAGTACTACAGCTACTTTAACTGCTGCTACTACTACTACTATTAATACTACGTCTGCTGGTACTACTAGTACTGACACGAAGACTTGTATTCACATTACATTATATTTTCAAGTTGATAATAAGGTATGTATTTTTGTTTTATTTCTTCCAAACTGCTTGATAGCTGAAGCAGAAAAGGCTGAACTGGAAAATATCCATGCCAGAGAGGGACCTACAGCAGAACCACCTCATTCTCCACTAAATTCCAAGATTCCACGACTCATGGCAAAGTATAAAACTCATAAAAAGAAACATAGCACTCCCACTGAGGAAAGCATTGTCACTCAGGTAATGAAATACTTTGAACACATCCAGAGCTCTCCGATAGAGGAGGACCCCCTTATGTTCTGGGCTCACAACAAGGACAGATATCCACATTTGCATGCTCTTGCTCTTAAAGTGCTGTCTGTCCCTGCATCTTCAGCACCAGTTGAAAGAGTTTTTAGTGCTGGAGGATTACTTATGAGGCCCCATCGAGCAAGCCTAGGATAAAAAATGCTCTCATCTCTTATATTTCTCAAGTGCAACAATGGACTTCTGTAAAACTGAAAAGAATTAGAGGATTAGATGCAGAGCCAGTTCAGGTCAGGGTCCTGCTATCCCATACTTGCATCCAATTCTGCACTAAAACTGTGTTGGTAATCTCCTGGGAGATTTTGATTTGACTGGTACTCCTGAATATATTATATATTATATGGCCTAAGGCAAACACACACACACACACACACACACACACACACACATAGCTGAAGATGTTCATGTTTATTTCTTTGTTTTTTTGTTGAAAATGCTCCTTTGGTTTATTACAAGTAATAAGTTCAAGAATGGGAACATGTTCATTGCAGTCATTTTGGAGTTAAAATGTTTTGTACATTTTTTAGTGACACCTGTGTTGCTTGTTATTTGTTACATTTTCCATTGGCAGCCCAGAATGTTATTGTTACACTATAATATTGTTATACACAATTATTATTATAAAGTAGTATAATATATATAATATATTATATATAATATTGTATAATATTGTATAACAATATTGTTACACTATAATAAAAAGACTGAAAATGTGAAGTTGCACTTCAGCTTACCTGAAATTGAAATTGCTATACCTAAAGTAAATAAAATGTAAATAGAGGGCCGTTGTCCTGCAAAGTTTAGCTCCAACCCTAATTAAATGCACTTGAACCAGCTAATCAAGCTCTTACTAGACACACTAGAAACTTTCAGATAAGTGTGTTAAGGCCAGTTGGAGCTAAACTCTGCAGGACACCGGCCCTCCAGGATCTAGTTTGGAGACCCCTGTCCTACAGAGTTGTTACTTTGCACATGCTTTTTGATCATTACAAATAATAATGTAAAATGATTTTCTTAGAATAGCAGATATGCTGTCTCTCCCATCACATACATTATCAATAGTTAAGTATGTTGTCTTGAAGAGGATCCTTTTTTTTTCTC